CCACTGAGCTTCCCCTCTCCCCACTGTGCTTATCCTGCTACTACGGACTGTACCTTAACGTCAAGTTGATGTACGGGACTTAGTTTCTTTACAGGTTATGGCGCGGGTGCGTCGTTAGACGTACCCTTCCCACTTGTAGACATGCCCCGAGCACAGATATGTCTGTTCAACGATGGCAAGATTAGGACTACAGGCTCTGCGATTTTCCCATACGAGTTATCCGATGAACTTCATGATGGAACCAGGAGGATAATTCTAAATCCCGCTTTACCACAGCCACCTGAGAAAGAAGCGGCGGCTATCTCTGATGGGCATGGTTGGACTCAGAGAACGATTCATCGCACCTCAGACGATTTCCAGCGAACCCTGTCCGATATCGACATGGACCTAAACAAGGACCCGGATCCCGTGCAAATAGATCGGCAGAGGAGCAACGTGGCTAAAGCACATGATGTGCCTAGGAAATCATATGTTCCGGACCCGAGTGACTATCCGGACACGGAGGACAACCCAGACAAACCGGTTTTCTCTCCAGAAGAGGAAAACTCAGGGGGAGGGGCTGACATGGAACATGGTCAGCAAGAGGAAAAGTTAGAAGCCCACCCTCCCGTCCCTGAAGAACCCATGCGTTATGGGGCCGATGGCCAATACGATCATGATGACAACGATGTGCACAAGGGGATACCACTTGAATGTCGGCCACTCCCATGGCATCTGCGTAAGCGCCGGCGTTCGCCGGTTCAACGTTTCAGTTTCGGAACTGACATCAGCAGAGCCGACTCTCGTTGGGACGACTCTCTGCTTGTGATTCCAAAGAACAACAATCTCGACCCTTCCAAATTTACATTTGTTACCATCGATGGCGTTGGACATGCCCCTTGGTTTCCTAGTCGACGGTACTATGAAGGTTCGTTCGCGCTCAAGATCGTGACTTTCGAGTACCGCGTCGCTGCGCTAGAGGGGTCGGCCGGGGCGCCACTGGCGGAGCAAACCCCCCCCTCTTCACCATTTCAACAAGCAGTTCAGGAGTATGTTCAGGGCCGACCTCACCCATCGATCGAGAGGCGATGGCAAGCCGCGATAGCCTCGACGACGGCGCCGACGGCAGCGACGACGAGGAGGTCAAGCCGCCCAACCTCCACCTCAAGACGCAGCCGCTGTCCCTCGCGTGCCACCCGCGCCGCGCGAACATCTTCGCCGTGGGCCTCTGCGACGGGTCCGTGGAGCTGCGCGACTGCTGGGGCGCACCGGGCCGGCCGGCGCTGGCGCGGCTGGTCCACGACGAGGGCGCGGCGCGCTGCGTGGCCTGGAGCGGCGACGCGCTCGTCTGCGGCTTCGAGAGCGGCGCGGTGGTCGCGTGGGACTGCAGCGACGACGCGTCGACGCGCGGGACGCGCGCGTGGCGCGGGTCGCGCGGCGACGCCGTCAGCGCGCTGCTGCCCGAGGCGCTGGCCGGCGGCGGGCCCGTCGTCGCCGTCGGCGACGACGCGGGCACCGTCGCGCTCTACGACGCGCGGCTCCGCGCGGGCGACGGCCGCCGCGGCGTGCTCGAGGCGGCTCCGCACGAGGACTACGTCGCGGACCTCGCCTGCGCCGCGGACCACCTCTTCTCCGCGGGCGCCGACGGCCGCCTCGGCGTCTGCGACCCGCGGCGGAACCTGCGGCAGCTCCGCGTCTCCGACCCGCAGGACGACGAGCTGCTCTCGGTCGAGGTCATGAAGCGCGGGTCCAAAGTCGTCTGCGGCACGACGACGGGGCCCCTCGTCGTCTACAGCTGGGGCCGCTGGGGCGACTCGTCGGACCGCATCGTCGGCCACCCGGAGTCCGTCGACGTCCTGCTCAGGGTCGACGACGACGTCCTGCTCTCGGGCTCGTCCGACGGCGTCCTCCGCGTCGCGCGCGTCATGCCGGGCCTCGAGCTCCTCGGCGTCCTCGGCGACCACGGCGGCTTCCCCATCGAGCGCCTCGACTTCTCCGCGGACCGCGCGCTCGTGCTCTCGCTCAGCCACGACGACGTCGTCCGCTTCTTCGACGCGCGGTGCCTCGACGACCTCGACGGCGACGACGCGGGCGGCGGCGGCGACGACGGCGGCGACGGCGACGGCGACGGCGACAGCGACAGCGACGACAGCAGCGCGGGGCCCGCGCCGTCGCGCCGCGCGGGCTCCACCACCGTCGGCGGGCGGTCCAAGCTCTCCCTGAAGACGAAGGCCGAGTCGTTCTTCGACGGCCTGTGACGCGTAAGCGCGGTTCAATAGGGTGATCTTGCTTCCTTGAACATCTGATGAAGCCGACGAACTCCCAGTGTGTCCCGAAGGCTTCCTTCCCGGGATCTGGGGCAGCCGCGCGCCGCCATGGCGGACCGGGACGCGGGGAGCACGTGCACGGAGCTCAATAGGCGAGCGGTCACGGCGCAGGAGGAGGCGCGCCGGGCCATCGCCGAGGCGTCGACGCTCCGCCGCGCCGTCGAGGCCCAGAGCGAGTGCTCGCGGCGCCGGTCGAGCCTCCCGCGGTCCGGCGGGCTCCGCGGCGGGGCGGGCCCGGCCACGCCGCCGCCGTCGCCGCCGCGGCCGCTGCCGGGCGGCCTCGAGGCGCGCCTGAAGAGCCTGCGGATGCCCGCCGGGTGGGAGGCCGAGGTCCGCGCGCTCGTCGCCGACGCGGTCCACGAGAGCCCGAGCCGCGCCGCGGACGACCCCGTGCGCGCCGTGTCCCTCGACGGCCGCGCCGCGGACGACCCCGTGCGCGCCGTGTCCCTCGACGCGAGCCCGGACGCCGCGCGGGGCTTCGTCGCGCCCGCCGAGGGCGCGCCGCCGCCGGTGCCCGTCGTTCTCGCGTCCGAGTTCGACTACGAGGCCTACGACCCCGGCTGGCCCCGGGCCACCGGCGACGGCATCGAGGCGCGCGTCCGCCGCTGCGAGGACGCGCTGCGCCAGGTCGAGCTCAGCCAGGACCCCGAGGTCGAGGCGCCCGACCGCCGCGACGGCGCCGCGCGGACGTCGGGCTGGTGGCTCCTCGACGTCCTCGGCCTCGCGTCCTGCGGCGCACCGTCCTGCGGCGTCGACCGCGAGGCGCGGCTCTGCGGCGGGACACCGTGCGACGCGCCGGGGGCGAGCGCGCCCGCGGACGCGCCCGCGGACGCGCCCGCGGCGCGGAAGGCGCGCGACGCCGCCTGGGACAAGATCCTCCGCCCCGACCGATAATCCCCGCACGCGCGCCCGTCGGTTACGATGGGGCGGCTCACGGCGGCAGCAGCGACAGGTTCGTGAAGAGCGACGCGAGCCCGTACGCCTGCGCGGGCGGGCCTCGGTCGCGCGCGCCGCGCCGCGCGACGCGGGGCTGCGGGCGGCCGCGTTCGTCCCGGCCAGGAGCCGCTCCTCGATGGACGAGGGCCGCAGGTGCGGCGCCTCGAGGCCCTCGACGACCGCGCGGACGCGCGCGCCGACGAGGTCGCTCGCGTCGGCGTCGCGGCGGTACGCGTCGCGCATCGTCGCGAAGGTCCACGCGCCCTTGAGCACGCTCGCGCAGGCGACCTCGCACGCGCGCGCGCTCGCGCCGACGAAGAGCGAGCGCAGGGCCTCGGCCTCCTGCTGCTCGTCGACGCCCTTCGCGGCTTCGACGGCGCGGTACTCGGCGTCGGCCGCGGCGACGGCCGCGAACGAGTTCTCGCCCGCTCCTGCCGCGGCGTCGGCCGCTGCGTCCTTCGCAGCGATGATCGCGTTCTCCGCTTCGAGGAACTCGGAGATCTCGGCCATCGCGGCGGCCTAGGCTGCCCTTCAAGGTGCCGGGGAGTTGTTTTAGTCTTGCCGTGACGTCCTTGTTCAAGAAAACGTGTCGCAGCGGATCAAAACAAGTTGAATGTTTGGGTTGCAGCGGATCAAAACAAGTTGCAGCGGATCAAAACATGTTGCAGCGGATCAAAACAAGGCGAGTTTTATAAAAACCCCTAGGATTTACATTATACTGTATACATACTATTCCACTACATTATACCGTACCACTTGCTCGGTTGGTGGCCCTACCGAGCCCACGGCCGACACCCCCCCCCGCGGTTCGCGCAAGCTCAGCCTCACGGGCTTCGAGCGGGCCGTGTCGCTCGTCGCCGCCAAGCGGACGCAGCCCCTCGAGGCCGTCGCGAAGCTCATCTTCGACGCCGGCGGGCCCAAGGCGCGCGGCACGGAGCCGGAGAGCCTGGGCCGCCTCACGGACGCGGCGCTCTACACGGGGTCCCACAAGCACCGCTTCGACGCCGACGGCAACGGCCGCGGCCTCGACGGGCGAGACAGCATCCCCAAGGGCAAAGGCCACATCCCTGCCAACGCCGGGCTCCAGCTCCGCCGCTACGCGAACGCGGGGCCCATGCCCGACTTCGTCCATTGAGGACAAAGCCCAGAATAGAAGTTGGTGCATCTGCCTTGAGGGAGCTGGTTGGCCAAATTGGCCGGATTGGCCGCGTTGGCTGAATCCCATTGGCCACGTCCAACCGCGATTGGCCGTGCGTCCGATGGGCTTCGTCCGATCGTCCGATCTGGCCGATCGTCCGATCGTCCGATCGCTGGCCGACATGAGTCGCGAGCTCTGCGTCAGTCACGGTGTAATGCGAGGACTGCCAGCAGAGAGGCCACCTCGAGCGCCGGGGTACGGGGGGTAAAATTTAAAAAATATATATTGGGGTTTCGAGGAGGTGCCGGGCGAGTCCCTTCGGGCCCCCGGCGAAGCCCTGTAGCCTACTTTGGGGGGTCGGTCGGTCGGTCGGTCGGTCGGTCGGTCGGTCGTCGTCGTCGTCGTCGTCGCCGCCGCCGCCGCCGCCGCCGCCGTCGTCGTCGTCACGCGCGTGGGGGTGATTCGAACCCGAGTCAGCCGTAGGGCGACCGCACAGAGGTGATATGTTGCCCCATGTCCTTCCTGTCACGGCGTATAAACCCGGAGCTGCAAAAATCGGGGGACGCGCGCCGCATTCGCAGTGATCGATGTCTGCAGAACGGCGGCAGTCCGCGGATCGGAAGTTCTGGTTCATCGGCGCCGAGGTCTTGGGCGGGCGGGAGGGTGGCGTTGGCCGCTTCCATGGAATCCACGCGCTCCGGGCCGTCGCCGCTCGCGAGCGGGCTGCCCCCTGGAGACGCTGCCCAACGTCGCGAGATCGTAGCCAATGGATGACTTTTACGTCCAATGGCCGGGGGTCATGTCCAATGGCCGCTAGGTTCGTCCAATGGCCTCGTCCCTGTCCGATCGCGGTTGGCTCTTCGTCCGATCGTCCGATCGCGGTTGGCTGCCGTCCGACGGCGTACGTCCAACGCGGCCAATCCGGCCAATTTGGCCAACCAGCTCCCTCAACATCTGCCCCGTTACTACTTCAACATGAACTACTGGCTGCGAGCACTGCACCTTTGCCGTACAAAACCGAAGTCGCGCACTAGCTCGCGCGATCCGCATGGTTGTGTTCGGAAACCGGGTCAGCGTCGTCATATGACGTCTGCTCGGAATTTCCTGTTCGCAGCCATTGCGGCGGTCGCTGCTCGTGGCTCGGTTGACTTCTCCTATGATGATCGCGAGATCACCGACCAGGCGTCAGGGCGACGCGCATCATGATCTTACTAGGTGGAGTTTTCACTGGCTGGCGACGCGTCGACGACGCCGAGCGTGTAAAACACGGAAAACCGCTTTGGTAAGCCTTTGCTGTCCCCCGCGGTTCCTCCCGGCCCCCCTACGTTGAGAGACGCGCCAAGGCAACTTGAAGCCTTTGCCGCCAGTGGCGCCGGCGGCGCCCCTGCGTGCGCGGCGGGGTGATCGACGAAACTGCACTTTCCTGGCGTTCCCCAGTCGTCACCCCCACGTCGCGCCCAGAACCAAGGGGCGTATCCAACGCCATCGGTGGTGGCGCGCACCGCGGCCGCGGAGTTGTACGCCGCGGCAGCCCCGCGGACTCGGAGACGAGGCCCGCGCGGTGGAATTTGGTCGACGCCAGAACCACCTCCGATGGGGGCACCGACGGTCAGGCTTACGTCCAGGGGTCATGGAAGGCCACTCCGACGGCCAGAACGGGCTGCCGTGCGTCGGAAGCTTGGCCTCGGAGGTCTCCGTTCCCGGCCCGCGGGCGCGTACGTGTTTGGTACTCAAGCCGGCGAAACGGCTAGCCATTCGTCGCAATTCGAGCGCTCGTTTTTGCCACGTATAGCCACCGGGCGCCCCTGGCCGCTAGCCAAAAACGCGCAGTTTAGACGGGGCACGAGCGGGGGGCGCGTCGCGTCGGCCATCGGGCGCCCGTGCAAAAGCTCTCGTGAAGCTCCATAGCTGCGCATGCTGCACGTGAGCGCCGCCGGCGCGGCGTTCGCCGCCGCGGTCGTCGTTTTGCGGCTGCTCATCGCGCGCGACCGCGTCGCCAGCGTGGGCTACAACTACGAGCTCGTCGTGCGCCGCGGCGAGTGGTGGCGCGTCGCCGCGGCGCTGCTCTGCCACGACTCGCTCCTCGAGGCCGGGGTCGTCGGCGTTTTGCTCTGCGTCGCGCCGGGCCGCGCCGCGCCGCACGCCTTCCTCGGCCAGTGCCTCTTCGCCGCCGCGGCGTCGGCGGCGTCGGCGCTCGGCGTCTGCGGCGTCGTCGCGGCGGCCGCGCCGGCGCTCGCGCCCGACGTCGGCGCCGGCGGCGGCGGCGACGGCCCGCCGCGCTGGCTCGCCAAGGGCGCGGCGCCAATCGCCGCGGCGCACGTCGCGCGCCGCGCGGGCGCCGCGCCGCCGATCGCCGTCGCGGCGGCGCTCGCGCTGCTCCAGGCCGCGGCGCCGCGGCGCGACCCGCTGGCGCCCAAGGTCGCCGGCGCGGCCGCCGGCGCCCTGCTCGCCTGGCCGCCCCTCGCGGAGTGCGTCGCGGCGCCCTACTGGGCCGCCGTCGCCGCGTTCTGGTTTTTCGGTCTCTCGGCGCTCTCGCTCAAGGCGACGCGGCCCCGGCGGCGCGTGCCCTGCGTGGCCTTCTCGCACGTCGTCGCGCCCGACGCCGGCGAAACGGCGGACGTCGAGGCGCCGGACGACGACGGCGAAACGGCGCGCCGGCCCGAGTTCCGCCGCCGGCGCCGCCGGCCGCCGGCCGCGGGCGAGAAGGTCGAGGACGACGACGACGGTAGCGACGGCGACGAGGTCGACGGCGACGGCGCCGTCGGCCCGGACGGCGGGCCCGTCTACCGCTTCGTCTTCGACGACGCGGCCGCGCCGCCGCCGCCGCCCCTCCTCGCGCGGCTCCGCGCGGCGATCGACGCGCGCCGCGGCGACGTCGACGTGGCGACTTAGATGACGTGCGTCTGGGGCGTGATCTTCGCCTTGCGGAGCGAGGCGACGAAGTGGGCGATGTCCGAGGGGCTCTCCGCGGGCTCCCGCGGCGAGCCCCGCGGCGAGCCCCGCGGCGAGCCCCGCGGCGAGCCGCCCCGGGGCGAGCCGCCGTCGTGGTCCCGCGTCGGCGCGTAGCTCGCCGCGGCGCCGCAGGGCCGCGCCTTGGCCGCGGGCCGCGCGGCCTTGGCCGGGCCCTCGATCTCGCCCGCGGCCGCGCGCCGCGCGAGCGCGAGCTCGTGGCGCGACAGGCCCGCGTTCGGGCAGCAGGGGAAGGGCCCCCAGCGCTTGATGCAGGCGCGGTAGCGGCGCCGGATCGGCCGCCGCAGGCCCAAAAAGATCGCGAAGACGAACAGAAAGAGCGCGATCATGAGCAGAATCAGCCCCATGTACGCGAAGAAGGACCGCGAGTGGAATTTCAGCGACGGCGGCGCCGCGTCGTCGTCGCCGTCGCCGGCGGCGGCCGCCGGGGCCGGCGACGGCGCGCGCGACGGCGACGCCGCGGCGCGGTAGGACGCGCGCGAGACGGTCGCGGTGGAGAGGACCGCGGCGAGCGCCGCGTCGCCGACGGCGCCGGCGCCGAAGGTCGCGTTGAGCGCCGCCGCCAAGGCCGCGGCGGCCGCGGCGTCCGCGACCGTCGCCGCGGCGGCGACCGTCGCGGTGCCGTTCGCGGCCGCGCAGCCCGCCGCTCCGACGGCCTCGCCGGCCGCGTCGCCCGCGGCCGCCGCGTAGGCGGCCTCGAGGCCCGCGAAGGCGTCGCAGAAGGTCGCGCCGAAGGTCGACGAGCCGTTGGCCGCCGCCGACGCGAGTTCGACCTCGACGACGACGCGCAGCGCCGGCGGCGGCGACGGCGCGAGGGACGGCGCGAGGGCGCCGGCGCAGGCGGCCGACGCCCAGAGCAGGACCCGCGCCGGCGAAACCATGGCGCGCGCGCGCGCCGGCTCGGGCCGCCCGCGGCGCAACGAACAAAGCCCGGCGCCGGCGCCGGGGTGCGCGCCGCGGAAGAACGGGAGCTGCCCCGTAACGATTACTTCATGTTTCCCTGCACCTTCGGGGCAGCCTGGCCTCTCCGATCGGGATGGGCCGCCGGCGCTGGGCCCTCGCGCCCGCGTTCGTTTGCGTCAAAGCGTCGTTACAACCCGCGGACATCGCCATCACGATCATCACG